CACACACACACGCAACAATGAAATAAATAAATAAATGAGCAAATAAAAATAAATAATAAATAATAGTAGTGATAATCATGTTAAAGGTTTTAACTGGGCCAGTCACACAAGGGAGTTTTTAACAGGTCAAAGAGAAAGGTAATCAGTTGAAATACAAATATAAGCTAGAAAGGTCAAGGTAGCACAAGTCAACATTCATCTCCATTTCAAGAATTTTCAAAAGCAAGTGAGTTAGCTCATGTTTAAAAGGTGCTTTCCTTAGCTTACGAATTTCAGGGGGGATGCCATTCCATATTTTCGCACCAACTCTAGAAAAGGAAAACAACTGATGATTTGTTCTCGTCTGTTTAATATAAAAGCTTCCAGCTACTGAGAAACGAGTAGAGTAGGAATGAACCTGTTCAGCATGAGTAAAAAGTTCAGAAATATTGGGAGGAGCACAGTGGTTTTTTATGTAAATCTCCTATCCTCTAAAGATAACAAATTTGGTTGTCCTTCTTTGAATTGACTCTATATGAATAATGTTACTCTTTGTATAAGGATTCCACACCTTAGAGGCATATTCAACCTTAGGCCTCACAAGACTACAATACAGAGTCTTAAAGAGTTGCAACATCATTGGCATCCCAACATGTTCTTTTGATAAGGCCTAAAATACTATTTGCCTTAGCTGTAATATTGGCAATGTGGTAATTCCAAGAGAGAACATCACTTAATACCCAAATCCAAGATGGCATCTAGTAACGATAGATTTATGTTTGACATCATGTGCTGCATTTTGGAAATAAGCTTAGAGAGGAACTTTGCTGCAGATTTATCTTTACAAACCTTCAACAATCCCTAGATCTCTAGGTAAGGTGTGATTAGAAATTCTAGTCACCAATTTGGTAACTAATTTTCAGGATTTGGTCGCCAAAGTGAAAAATTTAGTTGCATTAGCACCTGTATTAGGTGCAATTTTACGCCCTGATTTGGCCTTCAGGTTAATGAAGCTAACGGGAAACTGTTGATGCGCTTTCCTCTCAACAAATTAAAAAAAAAAAACAAAAACAAGTGTTATTTGGACAAAAAGGTCCAGAAAGTGCTTTCCTTGTCTAAACTTGTTCTCTTTCCCCAAAAGAAGTTTAATTTACACACTTAATATTAATTTACACTTACTTTTGATCAATTCCAAGATCCTGGAGTTGTTTGGTTTTTGTCATGAATGGACCAAGCAGCACATCACATGCTATACAATCATTAAACGAGTGGTAATACCCGTCTGCAAAATATGCAGTCCAATTTCTGAATTGCACTTGACGACAGCTATTGTCCCACTCCCCCCGTTGATTCTTATGACTTCCTCCTGCAATGATGGTATCCCTGTTTTCACTCAGTACCCGAACAAGGCGTTCAAGATTAACATCATCAGTGAAGTACATGATATCTGGGGCAAAGAGTGCATACGGTGTGGTTACCATCTTGAGTATCTTGGACCATGTTGCTCCATGCATAAGGTCATCAAATGCCGTGAAGCTGAGATTTAAACTTGGTTTTTTCAGCCTCTCGAAATTAAAAGTTTTGTTTAACATAAATATTACTGGAACTCTTGGATAATATGTGGCAATTCCTTCAAACAGTTTTTGTAGTTCTTCCTGTGATAGTTCCTTCGGTGATGTCGCAACCATAGTCACAAGCTTGTCAATTGGAACAAAGTCTGTACAATTTTCTCCCTCGAAACCTTTCCTATAAAATGGAAAGCCATAAGCAGAATCCTTTCCCATATATTTCTCAGGACAAACCTCTCTCTTAGTAACATACTTTTTTGACGGGGGACTGTTGGAAACTTTGTCCTCTTGCACCCATTGTCCATCCACAGATTTTATCAAATGCTTTACAAGCTGAATACTTTCTCCAACTTTGTAGAATTGCAAAGGTAAATGTACCAAGCTGCGTTGTGTCTCAGAAAGGTCTACTGCTAGGCGTCTTAAATCGTTTGCCAGTGCTGGTGAATGACGTTTAGTAGTACTGTGAAGATTATATGACATAAATGTTATTATTGCAAGGGTCATGATGATTAGTACCACGAAGAAAAACTGCCTTTGTCTCATGGTGCTGGTAGTTAAAATGTTGATTCAGAAGTCTGTTATATTGTTGACTATTTAGTGGCTTGTAGTACATCCATCTTCAAATTCTGTGGCAAATAAATATAAAATCATGCACTTAATTGTCAAGAAATCTCAAAAGTACAGGTTTCATAATTACCTGTCTGGTTGTAGCCAGAGAGTGTGCATTGGGGATGCTATCTCAGACCCGCTCCCTCTTAAATACGGAGTTCCTCAGGGTTCTATCTTGGGTTCCGTGTTATTTACTATCTAAGTAAATGATCTCTTGTCCGTTCCAGCCCACTGCAAGTCTGTGTGCTACATCGATGACTGTAAATTATACCTATCCTTTCGCTCAACGGACATCGCTCGTGTATTTGGCCATCTGAACAAAGATTCGAGTGAAATCTGCCGATGGTACTGTCAGAATTCCCTTCTAATAAACCCAGCTAAAACTAAAATCTTACTAGTTGGTGTTCCTCAACTACTGCCGAAATTGCCTCCAACGTCAATTTCACTCTTGGGAAAGGAAATAACACCAGTCCCTGTGGCAAAGGACCTTGGAGTATACATTGACCAGTCCTTAACATATAACGATCATATTGCTAAAACTACTTCTAACTGTATTTTCAACCTAGCACTGATCAGCAGGATTAAACACCTTCTAGACAGGAAAACTCTCTTACTTTTGATGAACGCTTTTGTTTTTAGTACAATGTATTATTGTTCAACTGTATGGGCCAACACTTGTCAAAGAAATATAAAGAAGCTTCAGCTAGTGCAAAACTTCGCTGCCCGTATTGTATTAGGTCTTAAGAAATTNAACGATCATATTGCTAAAACTACTTCTAACTGTATTTTCAAACTAGTACAGATCAGCAGGATCAAACACCTTTTGGACAGGAAAACTCTCTTACTTTTGATGAACGCTTTTGTTTTTAGTACAATGTATTATTGTTCAACTGTATGGGCCAACACTTGTCAAAGAAATATAAAGAAGCTTCAGCTAGTGCAAAACTTCGCTGCCCGTATTGTATTAGGTCTTAAGAAATTCGACCACATCTCCCAAGGCATAAAATCTCTTAATTGGCTCACTGTTAAGGAGAGACTTTATTTCAACAATGCTGTAATGGTATTTAAATGTGTAAATAATTTAGTTCCTGAATATCTGGCTAACATGTTTGTCCCACGACCTCGTATTCACAGTAGGGTAACAATATCATGTAATCTGCTCCACATCCCACGATGCTGCCTGCCCTCCGGGCAATGTGCATTCACGTATTGTGGATGCAAATTGTGGAATAACCTCCCAAAGGACTTAAAAGCAGCTGAGAATGTAAACGCCTTTAAGCTCCGCCTACTGAATGCGCTCCTTAGTCGAAATATTGCGCAAAGATGAATCATTTCTATCTTCTATTCTTGCGTAATTTTTGTATTTATTTAGTTCACTAGTGTTTTTAACATGTACTGGCCTTTTGTATTTATATTGTATTAACTTTAGATTTACTTATATATATCTATAGAATGTTACTAATGTTACTATAATATTACAATAATTTAATGTAGGCTTTGTAACTGAAAAACCCAGCTTGGGAGTTGCAATAAACATGTATATATGTATGTCTGTGTGTGTGTGTGTGTGTGTGTGTGTGTGCGTGCGTGCGTGTGTATGTATGTATGTATGTATGTATGTACATACCATAAGAGACTAGCTGGCTTTCCTTGCTTACCTGCTCAGTTTGACCACAGCACACTCCTTCACATTCTTTATTAATTTCTTAATTTGTACAATGCCCCAGTTAATGTCTGTGAAAATTAGGTACATTTTTCTGATATTGGCGTTTTGGCTTGCATTGGTACTTACATTATGGAATTTAATACCTTTGTACTTTCATGCACATGCATTTATGTGGAAAGAAACTGTAAAAGGAAAGTTACAGTAGAGTTTAGATACTCTTTTTGTACTTTCCTTATTTGTAGTTTTATTAGCTGTGATATTGTAATATTTTCAAATGACAGCAACCATACACAGACTCTTGTTCACAACAAAAACCCTTAATTAAGCTTTGCTAAATTTAAATGTACCCTAAACAATTCTTTGAGACTCAAAGCAGAATGATAAAAATTCAAGATTAAAGTTTGTGAGGTGACCCATTATATTTCAAGGTACCACTGCACCCTACAACTGTTGAGATGTCATAAAATGTTCCTTAAAGTAGGGTTTGAATTTTAAACATTTGAGAAACAAAAATTCACTGAAAGTGTGGTTATAAATCAAGCATAGACCACTTTCATCAATGGCTGCCGGATTAATATTCTTTTGTTTAAATTTAAGTTAGCCTTTCTGGCCTCGTTCTCCAGTACAAAATTCAAAAGAATACATTATCTCAAGCAAAGCCAGAAAGGCTAATTTGAATTTAAACAAAAGAATGTTAATCTGGCAGCCATTTATGACAGTGGTCAATTAAATTCTTATTGGGGGCAACAAAAGTTCCATTGTAAATTTTAATTAATTCATTGTCAAATCTGTATTCCTGATAAGAAAAATATTGCTATAGTGTTGATGTATTAGCGAGTACACCCGCATTGGCTTTGCATGCACCACGACTCTGTGCGAGCTTTTAAATTATTCCATATGTTCTATGTATGTGTTAGCAATCGTGTTCCATTAAAATTATTGTTTATGTTAAATTTCTTGCCAACTGATTTCCATCTCTCGAAACAAATCAACATATAGTATCTCTTCTATTTTAAACCAGTTCACAATTGAGATCAACACGATACAGAGGCAAACAGAGTAAAATTTTTGCATGCACATAATTAACAAGTTATCATGTGAATTTGGGATACTGGTACATCAGAACCCATAAGTTTTTCAAAGACTTCGAATTTGGTCAGCTTTAGATAAATTAAGGCTTAGTCAATAATCATACTGATTTATTCCTAGAAATCATGCGATTACCTATATATAACCAGTACTGAAGCCAATTTTCTATTTTGATGTTATGTCGTGTTGGGCAAAATGGCTTTTAAATGAGTATGGAGTTAAGTGGACTCTACATTGCCCCTATTTCGTTGATTATGGCAAAATCAACTTCCCCTGCTGCAGTCTTAGCCACTTTGAGTAAAGTAACCATCTTAGTGCGGGCACTGCCGTATGGCGTTCAACTTGATGGACGTTCAACTTCGCATGCACGTGCGAAGAGAAAGAAAACAGTGGGGAAACCGATTCTATAATTCGGCTTGGATAAAAAATGTGACCTCTCATGGGAAAACGTTCCCAACGGTTAGCCATTTTTTAAATGGTTAGCCGTATTTAAATGGATAGCTGTTCATCAGCCGTTCGACTGCATTGGCATGCCGTTCGAACGCCTCAAGCTATCTGTTCTTGAATACTCATCACTTGTTCGAACCGTTCGAGCTATCCATTTAAGAAACTTCATCATCCGTTCGAACGCCTCTAGCTATCTGTTCTTGAATATTCATAATCCGTTCGAACGCCTCCAGCTATCCGTTCTTGAATATTCATCATCCGTTCAAACGGTTCGAGCTATCCGTTCGAGAAAATTCATCAGCCGTTCACTTGGCACTTTGGCAACGATGGTAGAAACATTTT